AGTCTGTGATTTTCCAAATATCCAAAGCCAAAATAGGTTATTTACCTACCATCAAGTGCATCATGCTTGTCTGTCTGCCTCTATTAAAAAATGGTTGGTTTGTAATACGCAGGTAGTCGGACAATATTACCAAATAATTCATTATTATGGCAAATTCGAGTAAATCGCTAGGTTGTGTAATGTGAGTAAATAATATATAGATAATTGAAATAGAATCGAACAAGCATTTGGGAAAACTGATTCCAGAATCGAAAATTAAGTTAAACGTACCTCGAGGTAATACAATTTAAAATCTATGGATAGGTAAGTGCATGAGAGTAATGGAATAAAAATGCGAATGAAGCTAATCTTGTTTCATGTTTGCATCCGACAACGTGCATCGTAAATGGATAATAAAATGAACTGACATAAGCGTTTTTGCATATTATAAAAGATGCCTAGCTATCTACCATAATATCATATTATATTTGCCACTTTAATTAACCCTTCTATGTTTTCATATAAGCAATATATTTAATTGTGATTCAATATAGTAAAATCAGTCGAAACTAAATAGATAATAAATAATTTCACACATATTATGGTAATTTTAAACTCATGTTCCGTCTGTAAATAAAATTTTTCAACGAAACAAACTTTTGTCCCCCACGTTCCCCAAAAAGGGTTTTTTTTCAAACAAACCCCGACCCTTTTTTTTCCGTAGTTTTTTTGGAAAAAAAAGTTTTTCCTATTTTTTTTTTTTTTTCAGTCGACAACCTAAAACTAGCATAAAGTCATTAAATAAATTTTACAAAAATATGTGTTATTTTGTAGGACGAAAGGAACATTACATCTAAATAGTATAGCAATTTTCTTTCTACTTAATATGGTCGAATGAAGTGGTACATCGGATTTAAGTTGGATTCTGTGCCGGTCGAAAAAACTAAAAAGGAAATTGCGATCTTTATCTTAGCGCCGAAGAGGTGCTCCAAAGGCCGTCGAGTTTTTCTCTTATTCACTTGAATAGGGAGAACCAATTATAACTTGTAAGTAATCCTCTTATCAGAAACTCTGCGAGTCGACGCTACCCGCCACTCTGAATATAATTCACTTTATCCATATTCAATATCAGATCGTGCGACGGCGGGCAAATAGAGCGATCCGAGTGAGAATTATTATTGGATAAAGCCCGCCTCTTTTCTCCTTGTCTATTTTCAATGTTCACTCGAGTGTGATAATTTACGTGTTATATTCGATATTGCGCTCTGAAAATGTCTTGTTTATTATCTGTTTATTGGTTCTGGATGACTTATCGGAAGTGCGCGTGGAAATTTAATATTCAGTATTTCTCTCTTTCAGCTAAGGGTCAATAAAAGCTTGTTAGTTTATTTAGCCCGTATTCATCGGGAGTTATTGCTTACTGGCTCGTTTTTTCCGAGGAACAGGTGCAATTTTAAATAAATACAAGGGAAGGTAAATTAATTCTTTGAACTGTGAACGGCATATGATAATGAATTTATTGAAGATCGCAAATCTGCTTCTATTCTAATTTAAAAAGCATTAACCAATGCAAACTGTTCATAATTTTGACAATTGATATCTATGAAGTGTCCATTATTTTAAATAAGGATTACATAAAATAAACAAAGAAATCATTTCCAAACAAATTATATAGTATTGAAATATATTTTTTCTATATATTGCAAAAAAAAGTCTATAGAATAGAAATACGTTTATTCAGAAACAACACACATACAACAAAAATACATTTACAGTTAAAACTTATTCTACAATCATACACATTTAATTAAATATTAAATAAATACATCAATATAGTTGCCTCTGAAAACGAAGCCACACAGCTACGTTGGGACTAATGCCCCAACACTGATATTCTGTGGCCCCTTTTTCTTCTAATCGCGCTATATTAGACACGGTATAAGCACTTAGCGATGTAAACTGTTCCATAGACAATATATGTCATAGAGATGTACACATATTTCAGTTTAAGCACGCGTCGATATGAGACAAACACTCCAGCTTTACAATGTAGAGTCGTCTATTGTTTCCATTTATCCCCTGATTGGCCCTTATTGTAATGAAACAAGCTTGTATCGACTCATGATCGATGTGACTCGGAAAGCAGAACAGTGAAGTTAAATAATTATAATATTGTTGTATCTAAATGTTAGCTTGTCTCAACATATTAAAGTAAGAATAAGCCGATGCCATTCTCTGCAAATAAAAGTTATATTAAGTCTGTAGTTCACGCGTATAGTACACATTTAAATAAAACACTTTAACGGTTTAAAACGCGAAATGCATCAGTTAGCTTTTTTACAATTTATTTTAACTACGGTATTACGTTTTTGTGGACTGTTTGTTAGACGTTAGTAAATATGGATATTTCACATATACTCGTAAGTAAGACAATATTACTTGTCATTAAAAATACAATGCTTATAAAAGAATTAAAATTTTAGTCAAGAAAACACTCATCTTATCCTCTATTCGTTCTTCATTTAAACATTTCAAGAGACGAAAATAATAATAAAAAACAGAAATTTTTTTAAACTTGCATTAGTGTAAAACTTGTAAACCTACATATCTTTTGTATTTTTGAAAATAGCTTTACCCCTTACAATGATATAGCATAATAAAGCGACGAGAATTCGTGTATTATTTTCTATATAACTGTAGATATCCAAAGCGAAAATAGATCAACATATTGTTCAAATGTTGTACGACTGGGTTATTTCACCACTTGATGGCTTGGAACTCTATGCTTTTCTATGATCCTCTATACAAAAATGCACTACAGAAATCTTACATTTGAAAACGTCCGAAGTGACACCTCTTCGAAACCTGGAGCTTGTATGGGCAAAGGCCTCAAAGACCTCTGCATTATCAATACTAAATAAGGTCGAATCACGGGTGTTGCGTTCCAAAAAGGAATATTCCAACAGGCGTAGCAAATCGAACTTACCTAAAGTGGGACAATAATTATCGTTTATCTAGCAATTAATTAAGATGATTAATATATATATATATATATATATATATATATATGTGTATGTATATATCGGAGTGAATTATTTTAGTAATTTGTAAATTCCCGCAACACTGAAGTTAGGCATAGTTTGCTCTGTGGTATGCCACGTTTATCTATGGTAAAGTAAAGTTAACGATCTTTCAAGTCAAGTAAATGTGATCTGTCAGAGTCAGTTGCGCGACTTTAAAGCACGTGAACTCTCGAGCTTCACTACCCCGACGACGACTTAACCAAAGCCGATACACTAGTCACGTCGCGATCTGTCGGCGCCGGCGCCGATTTTCTGCGAAGCCGCCTTCATCGGCGAAGGCGAGGTCATTTGCTCCGCGTACCGCTCATACGGATGAGCCTCCGTCCAATTTTTCAAGCTCCTACCCGCAATGCGACGGTCTAAGCCGAGATCGACGCACCTTTGGTCTAGCTGCAAACACGGCGAGCGCTAACGCGGTCGCCCAAATGAACGGTCAGTATACGAGTCCCCTTAATACGTTATAATCAATATTAAAAACTCTCGAGATTTACTTGCATTGAAACATCGCTTGCGCCGGTTGTACGCACTAATGTCAGAGCACAATGGCGTCCGCAAAGGAGCGAATTCTTTGGCATTTTCGACATATATAACATAATTAAAATAATGGTAATAAAAGGAAAAAATGTAGTGGTTACCTTCAGTGAAAGATAGTTGCATAAATAACTCGGTATATACACTAATACGATAGTCGCAATACACATCAGTAACAATATTGCATTGAAATCTCCTTCTTCGAATGACTAAAATTAAATGTATATATTAGAGAATAATATCCAACATTTAGATAATTCAGATTATGAACTTCTTTGGCAAAGGCCAAAGACGTTAGTTGTCATTGCCTAATTTTAAAGGTTTTTGAAACCCGGTGGGTACATGTCTAGTACTTGTCTGTATAATTGGTTAGGGAGTGTACAGTCTTGTCTGTAAAAAGCAATGATTGGGACGAATATTGATTATTTTTAAGTACCCATTAACATTGTGTATACATTACATCGGTTGTTATTAACGTGGGTAGTACATACTAGTTTATACAAATGATAACAAGATATGCAAATTATTAAACACTGTCTGTAGTTTACACGAGTAGTACACATTTAAATAAAACACTTTAACGGTTTGTAACGCATAATATATTAGTTAAACTTATTTATGTTTTTTAACTAGGCCCCGATGTTTTCACATGTGGTCGCTAGTAGACTAAAGATGGAGCGTGTCTCTAGTGTAAAAGTAAAAACTGCTACGCTAGCGCCATTTGTTCCGACGTTGTTGGTATTTGGCAAAATTAGCCGGATTCTTGCAGAATTGACTAACGATGTCTTCGCGTTTGCTGATATGCTGATTAAAATATCAGAAAAAGTAACCAGGGCTGCTGCAAAGCGTCCGACACACCGGGCCGTAGTAAAGAATCATTTTCAAATAAGTTTTAATATATTTCGCGTTTTAAACCGTTAAAGTCTAATTTAAATATGAAATTATTAACAAGTACATACCTGCGTAGCCCCATAAGCGCTAAGACAAACCACGGGTGCGCTAATTAATTGTTCAAACATTAATAATTTTGTGTAAACTCGGGCGTAGCTTGACATAAGGCTAAAATACAACTTATGTTTTAAAAATTCTTGGTTCAATCATTTAATGTTTTTAAGTAACTTATCTGATAATAAATTAACTCAATTATTAACTATTATTTATCTAAAAGTTATATCTGTGCCTTTGAATTTTCATTTATTATGATATATGACAGGTTATTTAATGATTTATTAAAAAAAAACTTTTGTAGGTTCTCTTTAAATGTATGTATTTATTACTTATTGTTCAAGAACATGATTACATATTATGTTCTTATCAAACAGTTTTTTTATATAATATAAATTGGGTGCTTTAAAAAATTGGCACAGATAATAAAAGTAAAATTACCTATACACATAACATAACAACTTACGTGATCATAGACTGATGCAACCTCACGATTTCCTGCAAACGAACTTTGAGTAAACTTGAAAAATAATCTTTCTCCTCTCTGTTGACTGCCGGGCGAATTCCTTCCATTAAATCTTCAATACTCCAAATAACTAAGTCGGCCTTAGCTGCTATTTGACCAATCCATAATATTTGGATCTGCATCATGACTATAGAACAATTGTATCTCGATTAATTTATAGTTACAAAGTAAAATCATAAAATCCCTACGAAACATTATTAGTAGTCAAAAAAAGACAGTATAAAACACCGTACTTACAAATATAGTTAAATGAATAAGCCGCAATACATATATTTGAGTATAATAAACAAATTTCGTAGAGCGGCGACTTCCCAAAATCCAAACTAAACACCCAAAATGGAAACGGCAGAGGCCTTTTCTTAACAGATTCTGGATCGTGGTAAGCCAAATACCAAATAAATGCAATGATGGACGATAGCATCATGCCTAAGCCGATGCCGGCTATAAACAAAATACTGAAGAGACAAATTTTCCAAGTCTTTAGTTGGTTGTCAAAAAATTTGCTTCTGAAATGATTAAGTAGAAAAGCATTTTAAAGAATATTATATATTATACATAAATATACAAAATGATCTATTGTTAAATACAACTTCATTCGGATACTTTACCGTCCGTACCAGTCGCGTAACAAACAGAAGTTACAGATTAAAGATAATGAAGTATTCAATAATCTCTACTTAATATATAAAGCTAAAGAGTTTGTTTGTTTGAATGCGCTAATCTCAGGAACTACGGATTCGAAGCGAAAAAAATATTTATTTTGTGTTAGTTAGAGCATTTATCGAGGAAGGCTATAGGCTCTAAAACATTGCGCATGTGAACTAATCTCCCGCAGAATCTTCGCTTCGATTAGATACAGCGAGGAGATGTCAACAAAAAGGGGGAATTTTCACATCTCTGTAGGTTAAAGATGCGTACAGCTGCAAAAACGGTTCAAAACACCCAAAAAATATGTATGAAAGAATGATTCCTCTTTGTATGAAATAAAAAAATGTCCGCGACATTAGATATATGTTATATTTTAAGATTCACTTGCAAGAACGATGGGACCCAAACGACGGATCGCAACCGATGTCGGGGCAGCTTAAATTTATAAAGATTGATTTAGACAAATTTGGTTTGCAACAAATATGTTACGCAAACGAAGTCGCTGAGATAACTAGTATTAAATAGAGTACTTTTAATGGTTTTAAATATAAAAAAAAATAACTTAAACAAATTTTAACTCCGATCCGATTAGAAGGATTTTATTTACAGTGTAGCACTTGTGTCGGCTACAGATAATGTTTATAGATACAATTATAATTAGGTTACCTATATCTAAGTCCCTTATCACAAACGTATTGAAAATCTTCTCTAGCAAGTCTTAGCATGAGATGGTAATCTTCGATATTCAGTTTAGTACACGACAGAATGATTAGCTTATAATACATGATTAGCTCGTATGTCCCAGCTTCGGTCATAAAACCTATATCTTTCGAATCTGCTCCGTGGTACAAGGCGAGACTTAATAACGAAAGTGCACTTAGCCCGCAGAAGAGAACCAACGTTTGCAGAAAGTAACTGAAAAAGATTTTACTTTAATTATTTTTTTGTCTCTTGAAAGATTTATTTTTAGTTTTCAAAAACATTCTTACGTCCATTTTGGAATCGGGGCGTCCCAAACTTGAAATGCTTTGAGAAAAATGTAACAAGTTCTGTGAAACTCGAAAGGGTCGACATAGCCGCTGGAGAAGTCAAAATTCTCTTTTTCATAAAACTTCTTTAACCTTTTCAACATGCCTACAGTGTCTACTGAGTACGTATTACGAATTTGCCATTTATAGTATTCTTTATTTAAAAAAAGTCTTAATTTTTATACTAGAAGGTTTGGGAGCAAAATGACACTACCAAAAATTCCTCTAATATATTTCGAACGGGCATCCCACAATAGTGACAATTCGTTTCCAATATCTAGTCTTTTATTGCGAACAAATTCACGGATATTAATTTCTCTGGGTCCAAATTGTAGCGTCGCACATTGCCGGGGGCAGACCTTCTACAAAGTAGTAGTAAAAATGTTCTTCCATAGCAATTATGAAACATTAATGAAAAGCGACCTAACTTTAGACACTGTAATAAAAAGTTCCACCTTGTGAAAGATTTATACGCTTTTCTTTGTGATTTTTCATAACGATGTTTCAACGGGGTTTTCTAGTGTTTTATAATTGTTTTCTTTATATTACAGACTCGTTGGCTTCGTGGTTAGTAACTAGAGTGCAGATCACGACTATGGTTGGAAACTCGCGTCGGGACTTATCAGTCAGGTATTCGACTTTTTTCTAAAATTTGTTTAAAATATTTAATATATTTTCATATGTCATGCAACATGATGTACGATATAATTTAAAAATCCATTATAAATTGGCAGCTCAATTGATTAGAGCAACAGCATGCAACGCTGAGGATGTCGGTTCAAGTACTGCCCGAGTCATATTTTTTTTCAATTAACAATCGATTTTTAATATTGTATATTAAGTATGTTCTGAAGATAAATTTAAATATCAATATGGCGATTAGATGGGACGTGTCACGTCTGCTGCAAAACATCTGAAACTTCGGGTTAAAATTAGTTAACTAATAATAGTTTCACCTTTATTACGCGTTTCAAATTACTTTAAAAAGTTATATGATGATTATTGTCTGTAAAACGCGAGAAATACTTACACATAAATTAGAACATTCTTAACGGTTTAAAACTCGAAATATTGGTTAACTTTGCGATGACCGAGATGAAGATGATAGTATGAAACGTGTCACGTCGGTTGCAAAACATTTGAAAAAATTGGTTGAGTAATATCATATGATATATTTCACGTTTTAGACCTTTGTAAGCGTTTTTTTCAATGGAAATAGTCTTTTTAAAGAAATTGAGGCCTTTACCATTCTATCAAATGCAACTAAATATCTGCCAGAAGCACAAAGAGCAGTTGAATTACATTGAAACAAATTGCACTTTAACAGTTAAGTCGAACACTTACAACTGAGTAGACGCAGCTGGCGGCCGTTAAACCTTGGCTTTATGTTACCAGCATTTCTATTGGAGACTTAATTATTATGTTAGCTCCGAATTTGTGCTCTCGAATTTGCTACAGTCCAGACAGGTAAGCCGGATGTAAGAAATATTGGCAAATGAAGCGCCACCTCTCCACGGAATTATTCCGCTATTATTCGTTTTGTAATAAAACACTTCCAGTATAAATTATATTTTTAATATAACAAAATGTTAATTCATACTTGTGTAATGAATTGTATGTTCGGAAATTTTAAACAATGAATCTCTCGAGAATCAAACAAGCTCTTTGTTATCTTAATAAAACACTTTTAACAGTAAAATGTAGCAGCTTGAACTTGACATTAGGGACGATTACGATCTTCCTCACTCATTCTAGCTCCATATAAGCATACTGTCTATAGTTTACGCGAGTAGTACACATTTAAATAAAACACTTTACCGTCTCCCGGTCTCCCCGTGACCACAGCTGCTGCAAAGCATCCGAAACGTCGGGCCGAAGTTTAAAAATCATTTTCAAATAAGTTTAACTAATATATCGCGTTTTAGACCGTTAAAGTGTTTTATTTAAATCCGTATAAGCATTCAAAATATCCGGACATTGTCGATAGTATATCTTATTATAAATCATATTTTTAGCATTTCAAACCGTCTAGGGTGGTTTATTGAATAAAATTTTATATATTACGCAAATCAGTCCATAATAAGATTGAGCAAAATGGCATATAACATTATTTTTAAATTTTCAATCTCACGAGAGTAAATAAGTATAATTGTGTACTGTTTTTATTTTACATAAACGTAAAACTTGACCAAGTCAATCATTCACGGCAAGTCAATTCGGACGTTAACAAAAGGGAAGTAGGAAAAATCCCCTAATAAATAATCCATCTGGTAATGTTCGAAAGTTGGGAAAGAATAATATTACCGTAATGGGAAACTTGATTGATTGTAATCCCGTACATCAATGGTCGCTAATTTGAGATCTTACGCTTTTGTCCGACTAAGTTGCTTCGTTAATTCGGTAGCCTTTGGGGCTTTCGTTGAAGTTGTGGTGCTTGAGGAAACGTTGTTAACGTGTATTCGTAATTATATTGTTGCAACTTTTCTTTGATTTTATCAGCTATTCTTGATTTTAGGATTAGGGGCTAGAAGCGATACTAGAACCCATATTATAAAAATACATTGTTTTAATTATTTATATAAAAATATAACGTAACTTCCAATATTAGTGCTTGTGGGATAAAAACGTTTTAAACATACGAAAAGTAGTTTACTGTCACCAAATATTACAAATATGATTTAATTTGAGGAAAATACAAAAAAAATCTAGCGAGAAACGGCGATTTTAAAATTATTTTACCTAGAATAAATTGATATGACATAAGCAGAATGTAAAACTTAAGAGTTACGGTCCTATCAATCCGTTTATAAAAAGTGTAATTTTTTCTTCAAAGTATGAATGAAGTATAGGTTGATAATTAGTAACTATGAAGATATAGTTAAGCTAAGCCTACATATACCGAGGAAAATTATAAAATAACAACACGCACACATCTACCGTGACCACAGCTGCTGCAAAACATCCAAAACGGCGGGTCGTATGTAAAATAAATTGTAAATAAGTTTATTATGACACGTTTTATACCGTTAAAAGTTTAAACAAATAATTCATTGACCTGTCGTGACCGGCCATGAAATATTATTCCGAATTCGAAAATGAATTGCTTAATTAAAAACATTCGCCCTTTTAGATTGTTTCATGTATTCTACTTGAATTTGATATAAACATGCTTCGTACGGCTTGAAAATTCACAGTCCAGGAAATCTGGGCAGAAGCACGTAAATTAAGTTGAAAACGGGCTCAGTGGTGAAGCGAAGGTGGGAAAGCTCAATTATATGCCGGGGGCCGGATGTGAAAAATTAATGTGTTCCGTGATCACAGAATGTATAACGAACAGTAATTCAAACTTGATGTATAATGCCTGACTTTCGGTTAAGATTCAAATGTTTTTAAAAATCACACACATTTTTAGTACTGCTTTGTAACATCATTTAAAAATAGAGCTTTATATGTAACTATCTGTGTCTTACGCCTTTGTCCGCGTAATATAGTTATTTTGGGCATCCAAATTTGTTTTTGCAAACTTCTTCTTCCTTATAAATTTAAGCTGTTACCCACAACGTCGCTCGCGTCCCGTCGTTCTTGCTAGGTAATCTTAAAAGAAAGACATATAGTGTCGCGGACATTATTTTAGATCTTTTAAAGAGAATCATTCTTTCATAGATATTTTATTTATATGCATCAGAAACCCACAAATATGAATAATTTTCTCCGTTTTTTTTCTCATTTCCCCCCCTTTTTTTTCGCTCCAAAGACAAAGCGCAATGGTTTATAGCCTATAACCTTTATCGATAAATATAGAGAGATTCCTTTTAGTGTATTTACGATGTGGCACTGTGTAGTGAAAAGTTCAAAACATTGAACGGAGATTGCTAAAGCGGCATTATTTGAACGACTGTTCAAATTTACGATAAACTGTGGCTTATACAATGCCGCAGAGGCTGGCAACAGAGACCGATTGCCCGCTACCGGGTTTTACTGCCAATTATATCATAACACATATTACATGTCCAATTATTACGGTTCAAGACATTGTTTTGTGTAACTCAAAGTACACATCGTACCATCGCTCACAAGAAAAGTATAAAATTAATTTAATTATTCCACAGTTTAGTCTGTACTAAAAGCGTTTGAAGATTTTTATTAGTGCAGCATACTGCATAAAAAAGTATGTTCGTAGTTTTTTTTCATGACAGTTCTTTGTCATGTCGGACCGTATGACCGGACGTTGAGCTATAATTTACGCTAATAGTCCACATTTAAATAAACACTCTTAACGCTTGTAACTCGAATTTGATTACTTAACTTATTCTAGCCACGGCCCAACATAACGCACCGATCCTCCGTCACCACGACTACTGGAAAACATCGGAAGCGATCGTGTTTCTAACCGTTAAAAGTCTTTGATTTAAGTATGGGGGTTCGCTTCATATGTAAATCCCATCTAAATTAAATGCGTTGCCGACCTTTTTAGACTTTGGAGACTCGGAAGTAATAACTACTACCAGACTACTACTACTAATCAGAATTTTAAGTTTATTACTTTGAGGCATAATTTTTGTTAAGGAAAAGTATTAACTAGTTCTGTGTTTATATAAAGAAGTAACTAAATTACTGAGTAACAGTATCCGGCATTTTGTAATAACATATTTTAACGATTATATAAGCATAATACACATAATACCACTTTCATTAACATTTACAATTACAAATAATGCGACTTAGTTCGATGAATAGATGAATTGCGTATTAATTTTTACTCGTTAATATTCAATACTGATTTTATATTCATTACATTTAATAGTTAATTGGTATTGACTATCTAACTTTTGTGTGTATTGTATTAAAATGGAATCATTTCTAAAGCTGTATTAATTAAAATGATAACGCACTTAACTCTCCATCAAATAATCATTTGATGGCAGTGCAATTAATTCATTAGTGACACTAACTGCTACAAAAATATTTAATGTTTTCGCTTATTATAGCTGATCTGGAAAATATCGTTTAACCATTGTTCTTGAGGCGTCGTTGGTGTCTTGGTATAGATATATGGCTAATAATCAACGTGTTGTACTCCGTCTGGAAATGTAGATATTAAATA